TTTTTTTAGATTCTACATAAAACTGAAATCATATGGTATCTGTCTTTGGCCACCCTAATAGGCAAGAATATGAGTTCACGACAGTATTTTGCCACATGTTTTGGTGTTAAGCATAAGGATGTCTTTTGATTCAGCTACACAGGACTTCCCAGAGTGGGCCCAATCCAGAATCTTCTACAGTCAGCTCCTGTCAAATAGAGGAAATAATCACTGTCTGAGAGGATAGACTAAGGAATATTCTGATCATTGAAGTCAGTCGATTTTTTCCAAGCTTCATGCGTGCATCATAAAACCAGAAAGCTAAACAGTAAGATTATGTGACGTCTCTTTTAACTGGTCTTGATAAAAGGTAGGGCAAGCCTCTACCCACCTGCACAACCCCCTGCCTATAAATGCCAGCTATGTTGTATTTATAGATTAATTTGCAGAGTACTGACATCTTTATGCTATTGAATCTTCCCTTCCACAAATATGGCACAGCATTTACACAGGGGTGTTTTGATGTCCTTTAATAATATTTTATCATATTACTACATAAAAGTCTTACATATATATATTTTTTTCATGGTACCTTATAGTTTTTGTTGCTGTAATAAATAGCTTTCTTTTCTACTACATTTTCTAATTGGTTAGATGTATAGGAACATTATTGAGTTTTGTATGTTGATCCGACACCTATAGTTATATAGATATAGATCATCAGCTCTTCTGAACTTTTATTCTGTAGAGTTACTTGGATTTTTGATAGACAGTTATATGCAAATTGATTGTTTTGTCCTCTTACAATTTTTCATGTGTTTTTTTTTTTCTCAACCTGGTTAGAAATGCCTGTTCAAGGTGGAATAGAAAAAGTGGTGAGCATTTTTATCTTGGTTATGATTCTAAGGAGCCCACTTTTAATAATTTATCACTATTTGATGTTTGCTATAGAGTTTTGATAGATTTCTTCTATCAGGCTTAAGGATGCTGTTTCCCTTAATTACTATTTTGAATGAATGTTAAATCTTATCAAAACTTTTAATCTGAAATTAATTTAGGTGATGAAATGTTTCTTTTACCCCCTTGTTTAATGTTTTAACATACTGAGCTATAAAGGCAGATTACTTGTTTTCCTTTAAAGACTGCTGAATTTGATTGCTTTATTTTATGTAGGTTTATTGCATCTAGAAACAAAAATGAAATTGGTCTTACACTTGTTTTTTTCTAGTCTTTTCCTTTCTGATTTTGATACCAGTTTTAGCTTTGCTACATGAAACAAGCTGAATGGTTTTCCTTTTTTTTATTCCTTTTTTGTTTTATCCCGTTCTTGGAAGCTTTTTGTATCAGGCAGGGATCATCTGCTCTTTGATTAAAATTGTGAAACAGTCTGATGTGGGGTTTTTTTGCTTATCAGTTTAGTTTCTTTAATAATTGTTGCTTCCAGAATAAATTTTGGTTATTTGATAGTTTTCTAGAAAAGTGTCTACTTAATGTATGTTTTAAAATATATTAGCATAAATTTATTCTAATTA